CTTAAGGGCAAACACAACAGTATTCCAAAATGAAGGCATCAACAAAGTTTGTGCCATCAACAAAGTTTTCCCATTTGCTTGAGGTCTAGTCTTCGGAGGTGACCATCTTTCTCAAATTGTTTTTTTGTTGATGCATCCTAGACAAAGTCAAAAAGGCGGTTGCAAATCTAGTTTTTGTAGGCTTGATCAAATTCTTCAAATTTGTATAGTGCCTCATCATGTTTAGCAACGTAGGCTGATTGTAAATGTAGCCATGTACTGCAATACCCCTTTCAAATGTCTTTTTCAGTCTAGGTATCTTGAAAATGTCTTCTAACATCAAGTCCAAACAATGAGCAGCACATGGTGTCCAATACAAGTGTTCATACTTAGCTTCCAAAAACCTCTCTATAATGCAACAATAACGAAGAATTATTATTTTCAAGTTTTTAAATTTTAAATACAAAACAAACTATGAGTAAACAATTTTGATGTAAGGAATGAGCACCACTATCAGTGATAACTTGCACCACATTCTCTTTTCCAACTTTCTCCACAAACTTGTCTAGTAATTCAAATAGTTTTTGCCCATTCTTTGAATAGCTAGAAGTATCAACCGACTCAACAAACATGGTTCCTCTTGGACAACTAACTAAAAAGTTAATCAATGTCCTTCCTCTCTTATCAGTCCAACCATCAGCCATTATGGAACACCTGTATTTTGCGCAATCCTCTTTATGATTCTTCATCAAATCTTTAGTATGTTTCACTTCTTTTTTGAGTTGGGTAACCCACACTTCATGGTAAGTCAGTGGCTTCATACCAGAACCATATTGGCCAATGGCTTCAATCATTGGTCCAAAACTCTCATAATTTACTGCATTAAAAGGGATACCAGCATCATACATCCACCTTGAAAATCTTTACACTACCCGAGCTCTCATTTCTTTTTTGTAAGGGTCATTTGCATCAATTTTGGTTTGTTTCCCTTTTGCTTGGTCTCTTCGATTTTTCACCACTGATTCAGGATTGGGTGTGAAGTAAACATCCATAGGCACTTTTCTCTTTGGCATTTTTGATTTGGATTTGGATTTGGATGAACCTTGGCTACTATTTGTCAACTTACGGCGTTGATTGACATTGATCTCAACATTATCATCTTCATCTTCATCTTCCATGTCCATGTCATTGAAATCAGGCAACATGTTCATTTCTACTTTTTGTGTCTTTTTTTTTGACATGAACTCTCTAATCTCTTCTTACATGAGAAGGACACTTCGGGCAAGCAGTGACATTCCTATAACCTCCCGCGAGGTGTTGTTTCACCCGATAAACACCTCCATTTGATACTTTCCTACAAAAATTACACTAGAACTTGTTTAAATTATTCTCCTCTACCAAATGGGCATATTGCCACGCCGGATCTTTTCTATTACTTTCCAATGTCATTTTCTACACAACAAATTTAATAAATGGAAAATAATTTCAGTGTAATGTAATGTGTGATCATGTGATGAATTAATTATTTGTAATTTTTTTTTCCCTAACAGATAAAGGAAAAAAAAAGACCAATACCACATTGTATTAATTAATTATTTGTTCCCTTTTTCTAAATTACTTAGAAAAATATGTCTACACACTTGGATGCTAAATTTATATTATGAATATGAAATATTTGGACTTAAATCAATGAAAATGTTGTTTTGTATGATGATCACGTAGTTTAGTAAGTAAGAAGTTAACAAAGTTTTCTGTCTAAGATCACCATCTTACCTTTCCCTTTTCTAAAAATTTCTTATCAACCAATTTCAAAGTAACAATAATCTGACAACAATATTGATATTTGGACAATAAGTATACATACTTTGCCAAGTAACAATGACCAAACAATAAGAAATAATTATTTATGATCTTTTATTTTAAAGTCTAAAATATTTTAAAATGTATAACTAACCCCACTCATGTAATATTCAACTATATTTAATTTAATAAAACAACAATAGATAGTTCATGGTGTAAGTTACTTTAATCTTAAACATCTTTAGAAGATATATTATGATTTTTTAAAGGAAAGAAATGAGAAGAAAGGCTAAAAACATGTTGGATATGACTGAATTTGATTGGATCCTATTAAAAACTCTATGATCACTAAAATGACAACAAATCATGTATATATATTGGTTATTTTGGTATTAAACGCTATTAGAAGTTGTATTATGTCATTTTCACTAAAAAGATAGAGAAAGAAAGGGTCGAAAATATGTTGGACATGATAGTTTCAAGAATTGCATGAATCATAAAGAGTGAATCAAATCGTGAATCAAATAGTGAATCGTGTAATTTACTACAAATTCTCTTCTAAAATAGATTCACCTATAGATTCGTATTGATTTTGCAAAAATTATGAATTGAATCGTGAATCAAATCGCGAATCGTAAGATTCTGATAATAGAGCTCCAATGTAATACGCAAAAAAATTCGTTAGTGTACTTTTTCCAAACGAAATATTCGAATGTGACACTCCAAAACAAGGATGCGAGATTCTTCAAATCATTCCAAAAGGGTGTGGGATTCTTGAAACCATTCCAAAAGGAGTACAAAAATTCCTTACTAAGCCTTGGATAAATGTATAATTTGAAACCGTGAGTGTTACGTTTGGAAAAAGTATACTAAGTAGTTTTTTAGTGTTATTTTACGTTTGAAAAAATTACACTAAGAAATTTTTTTGTGTGTTATGAAGCTTGGGTAACCAGCTTGGGAATGATAGAATATCACCCCCTATTTATAAAAGAAGATTAGGGTTTACAAGAAATGCAATTTACAAGATGATCCCTGAGTGCTATCCCTGAGTGCATAAAATGATTACAGTGATTACAGACAGACCCTAGTGTGCCTTTCGGCGAATATAATATGCTATCACTTAATATAATATGCTAACACATACATCCACCTTGCAAATCTTTACACTACCCGAGCTCTCATTTCTTTTTTGTAAGGGTCATTTGCATCAATTTTGGTTTGTTTCCCTTTTGCTTGGTCTCTTCGATTTTTCACCACTGATTCAGGATTGGGTGTGAAGTAAACATCCATAGGCACTTTTCTCTTTGGCATTTTTGATTTGGATTTGGATTTGGATGAACCTTGGCTACTATTTGTCAACTTACGGCGTTGATTGACATTGATCTCAACATCATCATCTTCATCTTCATCTTCCATGTCCATGTCCATGTCCATGTCATTGAAATCAGGCAACATGTTCATTTCTTCTTTTTGTGTCTTTTTTTTTTACATGAACTCTCTAATCTCTTCTTACATGAGAAGGACACTTCGGGCAAGCAGTGACATTCCTATAACCTCCCGCGAGGTGTTGTTTCACCCGATAAACACCTCCATTTGATACTTTCCCACAAAAATTACACTAGAACTTGTTTAAATTATTCTCCTCTACCAAATGGGCATATTGCCACGCCGGATCTTTTCTATTACTTTCCAATGCCATTTTCTACACAACAAATTTAATAAATGGAAAATAATTTCAGTGTAATGTAATGTGTGATCATGTGATGAATTAATTATTTGTAATTTTTTTTCCCTAACAGATAAAGGAAAAAAAAAGACCAATACCACATTGTATTAATTCATTATTTGTAATTTTTTTTCCCTAACAGATAAAGGAAAAAAAAAGATCAATAGCATATTACAAATAATTAATTATTTGTGAATAATTAACTATTTGTAATTTTTTTTCCATAACAGATAAAGGAAAAAAAAAGACCAACTCAAGTGTATTTTTTTTAGTGTATTTATTAATTATTTGTAAATTTTGTAAATTCTTCTCTTACATTTTTTTTCAGAGACTCAACTCAAATAATTGAAAAAAAAAGAAAAAAAAAAGAAGGAAAACAGAGCACTGAAGGAGAGAGAGGAAGAGTCGAAGTCGAACACACGCACACCTGAAGAAGTTGAAGCCCAAAAAAAATAAAAGCAGAACTGAAGTCAAAGCAGAAGAATTGAAGTCGAAGAAGAAGAAGAAGAAGGAGAAGGGGAGAGAGAATCGAAGTCGAACAGACCTGCGAAGCCGAAGTCCAAGTCCAAGTCGCAGTCGCAGTCACAGTCGAAGTCCAGCTCCAGCAGCCCAGTCGAAGTCGAAGTCGAAGTCGAAGTCGAAGTCCAAGGCGAGGCGAAAGAGGAAGAGACGACACAGATTAGGGTTCATCTGAGTCGTATTTGGCTCATATGGTACATGAGTTGTAATCCTCTGTGATTACGAGCCATTCGAACACACCCTTACAGCCGTTAGATCAGATCTACCTCTTAAACAATCAATCGCGCCTAGGCGTGTGCCTTGCGCCTCTCTCGCCTGGTTCATGTCACTGCTAAGGCGTGCGCCTAACTAAAAGCGCCTCGCCTGGTACCTGTTCAGTCGCAGGCAATGCGCCTCGCCTCGCTTTGCGCCTAGGCGAGCGCCTAGGCGCGCTTTTCACAACACTGCTATACCCCACCCCGCCCCACTTTAACCACAATCCCCAAAAATTAAAGCAATATGGGTATACCATACCTAAAACATTACAAATTTTGTAAATCGAAGTCAACACACACTCAATTATGAATCAAAATTAGGAAAAATCAACATCTAACGATCAAAATAAATTAGGGTAAACAACACATACCTAAACTAATAATGGCGTTCGCAATATGATGGTGAAATTGATGATGAAGCCCTAGTTCAATCCAATCAACCACGGTGAGAGAGAGAGAGAGAGAGAGAGAAAGAGAGAGAAGATGGAGATGCGAATACTAGTGTTAGTCAAATGAAACGAAACGACTGAGGGATGTAAAATATCTAGGGGCATTTATGACTTTTCACAACTTCTGAAGTATAGGGGTTTAAGTGTTACAAATGAAACTATAAGGGGGCTCTGTGTTTTTGAGGCAAACCATAGGAGGTTAAATTATAATTTACCCTTACAAAAATTATGGCAACAATAACTTAAAGAGAGAGATGAATGGCAGTAACCAACCTTTTGAACAGAATCCAGAAGATCCATAGCATAAGCAATACCCACTATATTATCAACACGCTGCTCAAAAACAGGCACCCTATGAATGTGTTTATACAAACTTTAGTATGTTGATAGGAATTATTATTTAACATATGCAAACAAACAAGTCTGACATACCTAGAATACTGATGAGTCACCCACAAGTGGTGAAAATCAACGAGTGTTGCACTGGCATCAATGGCAACAACATCCACAAGAGGTGTCATTACTTCTCTAACATGGGTATCTTTTATCTCTAGCACATTTTCAATCATATCCTGCAATAGACTTCTCAGAATTTATCCCATTATACATGAAAATATAAATAGTGCAGTAAAGATTTTCTGGAAAGTAGAAAGTAAAATTCATCTGGAATATATATATATATATATAAATGATTTTGATGGTGATCAACCTTTAAAATATAGGCTATAAGACGAAAAAAGGGAGAATTTTCTTTGATCAAGACTATCTTTGCAATTTTCTAGATAAGGGGTGATATGGTAGTTTTATGGTATGTATCTTTTCAGAGTCTAGATTAGTTAAGTGTTTTGTTATAAATCTTATTAAGTCCTTATCTCATTTAGAGCATGTTGAGCGATAATTAGCTTTGCAAATACTTATCACATATTTTTGTTAGGCCAATATATTATAAATGCCAGTTTCATGTATTTTACAGGTGACATTGTATTTCAGAACATATAATGAAACCAAGAACAAATATAAACATTGGAAACTCAAAAGAAGCATATTCCTTTACCTGTTCTTCCTCCTCAATTGTCCCACTTAATTCTGCTCCTCGCAACATCAACTTCAGTTCATCTTCAGTAACATATGGTTCACTAGTACCTCAAAATTGACAAGGTCAATTAACAGCATTATCTTATAGCCACAATTTCACGAAAAATTGCCAACCAATACCACCGAAAGTTTATAATTGAGTATCGAAGAAAAAATTAGCCACACACGGAAAACATGCAGAACAGAATACCATATAGAAAGTAAAAAAAATAAATGATAAGCATACAGATTCACTATTCACATGACTTGTATTCACTGCAAACAACTTCTTTCATCCTCTCCTACTGCTTATATTCGCGATTCATGTGACTTGTGATGCAAAACACCACACAAACAAACAACTGGAACATCCTTATAACCACCAATAATAAAAATAGCAAGGTAACATAAGTTCAGATATTGTCAAGGCATCCTACAGAAAATGTCTTATTCATGATTTTTCTAAATTTATTTGCTTCACCAAATCCTTGAAATTAATAATCATGGTTGATGAAAAATTGCCTTAAAGAAACAACAAAAACATCCAAGAAAATACCAAGGGTAGTTATGTTGAGGTCCTAATAGGTGAACTTATTGTCCAATAGATCCGATGATAATTAATGGCATTTTTCATCAAACACTATTAAAAAAACATTACTAATTGTTAATTTTCAATGGCATTTTAAAAATTGTCACAAAAAATGCCACTAATTATAAGTTTTAGCGACAGTTTAAAAAAATCATTACAAAAAAAAGTCACCAATGTTTAACTTTCAACGACAGTTTGAAAAAATTATCACAGAAAAACGTTACTAATGATAAGTTTTAGCGACAATTTATAAAAAAACGTGACCAAAAAAAAGTCACTAATTGTCAAATTTTAGCGACATGCAAATAATCGTCACAAAAAATTATTTTTAGCAACAATTTTAGTAGGACTTGATGGAATTTAAGTCCAACAATTAGGACCTATTGGTAGTTTACCCAAAATACTAATAGAAACTTGAACAGCACTGGAAACATCACCAATAAAACAACAGACCATAAAGACCAAAAGAAAATCATCAAAAGCAGCTATCTTTTTTCCCCTCTTTCGATAAAGATACTAGATACAACATGACATAGAAGTTACAAAGAGATCAAAGCAGGTTCAGGATAAAGCACACCTTCTTCCTTTCAGACCAAGCATTTTTAGCATTCCCATTGATAGATATGTAACAACTCTTCCCACAGGATATAATATTAAGGAAAGCCACGCCACTGGCCTGACCTAGAGGCATTGAAAGTGACGCAGGTTAAATTAACTTAAAAGCACTCAAATCAACCCATCACATAAGAGACAAAAAGAACTCTTTTATGGTGACTGTCAAAAACTCCAAGTGATCTTTGGTTCAATTCAAAAGAAAGAAGCAATTTCAAGACTTACCACAAACCTAGCAACCTCAGTGGCGTTGTGCACAGCTATACTTTTTGGAGTAATTTCGGTGAGGAGCAAAACAGCAACCTGATATATCATTGAAGGGATAATATCTGGTTTATGACACGCATCAATGTATAAATGAGTTTCTATGCAGGCACTAACTACTAGCTAGAATACAAGAAAACCAAATATGTATTTATAGCAAATACAATCTCAGAAACTTTAGACTGACAAATTCTAAATTAGGAGACCCACTAACAGCTATACGGACATGACATTTAGAGAATAATCTTTCATGGCCTAAAGCACTAATGATAGCATGTTTGGGCATTTGAAATCTCATGCTTTATTTTTATCTCAAATTTTTCGCTATTGAATATATGTCCAACTAATTAATCAAGGAAACTCTTTTTTTGGATAAATAATTAAACAAGGAAACTGAGACATACAGTCATCACCCCAGTAGCTGCACTCACACCAACTTCACCAAATATTGTCGTTGCTGCTTTTGTGACAAGTGCAGTTGCTCCAATGTTTACCACACTGTACATAAATAAAATCTACAATAAGACATAATATTCAGAATCAAGTTGAGAGAACAGCACCAATGATGATTGCAAGTACAGGTAGGGCAATACGTTGTGCCAATAAGTATAGTTGTTAGGAACCGCGTAACATCAATGCTAAGCATTTTGAAAACACCATCCTCAGATTCCTTTTCAGCCAACTCTCGCACCTGGTATACATCAATATCAAATAAACAATGACAAGTTCGTAATTTTAAAAGAAAAAAACAACATGCATGTGTGCACATGCACGCAAGATTGCAAAATTTCTACAGGCTGCATTCTTTTCTATGATCATTAAAAGATAATAGTAGCCTATAAACATAGAAGCACCCGATTGCATGAACATGTATTAAAAAGAACAGCAGCCTCAAACATAAAAGCAACCAATGGTGGTTTACATACAATAGTACATCCCTTTTTTATAAGCACAATAATACATCCCTTCTGTCTTCAAAAACCTTAAAACCACAGACCATTCTAATCCTTAACTGCAAATTAAATGTTGTAGATGGCTATTAAACTTCTGACTGTTATCCCACATCATTATATGCAAAACGTATTTTCCATTCAGTCAAAACTAGCTCCACCATCCATTGATTTTTCAACCTAAAACCTAATTCCTCAATCTCAACTCTCTCCCTGCCTTGTACAACGTACTTAACACCAACTACCCAAAATTAGTTGTAAAAATTCTTGTCAGTTACGAAATTTTAACAGCCTTCAAATCCAAGTCTATTCTTGCTCTTTCTCACGCTACGAAGTCTAGAACCTTTCTTTCACCCTTTCAAAGCCAAATCATAGAAGATATCACACCACACCACACATGCAGTGAAGAAAAAAATTCTGCTCTACAAAATGAAAAAAGGTTCTTTTGACCCCTCGAAGGACCACATGTTGCATTCTCTCCAACACAATAATTGGTTTGGGGCCATACATGAACTCACCCAACATCTTACTATTAGTCAAACAAGACATTCTGACCAGTAAATGCAATTATTTTTATTTTTATTTTTTAAAATTAGTAAGTGGGGAACAGGAGAATGGAAAACTGGATCATACAGCGATGAGACCAGCCAACTCTTGGTCTCCAATAAATGCACACCGTAGGGTAGCACTACATCGACTAGCCAACACTCGTCTCCAAACAAATGCAATTAAGCAATAGAAAAATGTGTACAAATGACACTTTACCATTTCTCAAGTAAAACTAACAACAAAATTCAGGCATAAGAAGCTGCTGTGTATAAAGAAAATTGAGAAGTGCTTTCATTCACTAATTACACTCTCAAGTACAACCAACATTAAATTGGCATAACCCAACAACTTGCATTCTTAAGAGTTCATTTCTATCACAAGATAAAATCTAATATAATATGCCAAGAATAAAAATAAAACTAATCCCCATTAAGAGTATAAAATATGTACCTTCCAAGGCCAAAGAGTGGTAATTGAAGTTTCAGCCATAGAGAAAAACGCAGAGAGACCCAAAAGAGCAGCCAAAACCAAACCTTGCTCTTTGAAAACCCGAAGAACCTGCGAAAGTTTCGGCCAATAACTCTTCAATAACAATATGTTCTGTCCTATAACCCCATAACCCGAATCCACAACCTCTTCCACCGCAAAAACTCTTCGGCACCCAAACACTAAAACCCCAATAACAGTAGCAGCCAACACAATAATTCTCCGATTTACAAAAAACCCTAATTTCAAACTCGTAATCGAGTCTTCAACGCCATGAACCTCACTTTGTTGGAATCTGCAAACAAAACTCCGATTTTGTTGGAATCTGGAACTGAACAAGTCGTTGCGAGCATACTGGACGATGCAATTGGTGGGAATTCGAGAAGAGAAGAGCAGATTTGAAGGGAAATTCTTGGTGGGTAATCTGATCTGAGGGTGAGAGGCAGCGAGAAATGAAGGGCTGGAACGAGGGAAAAATGTTGATGGATTGAGAAGTGCGGATTCGGCTGCAACTTCCATGAGAATTCTGAACAATCCGCAGAAACTGTAACTACAAAGAGAGAGTGATTAGGGCTAAAGAGGGTGAAGAAAGTGTGATGCTACTGAACTGGTTGTGTTCATCATCTCGGACAAGTTCGAAACAAGTGGGAGTATGGGGACGGACACAAATTTATAGAGTACCTTCCATTCCTAGATTTGTTTGGGAAGATGCTTATTTTGGTGGGGTTTTTTTGGTTTTTGTTTTGTTTTTTTATTATTATTTATATTTCAAATTACAAATACAATTCTTACTATTTGCTTAAAATGCAAATTATTTTCTATCATTTTAAAAATTATAAATATTCACTTGTCAAAATTTTTTTATTTAATAAAATTAATTAAAAAAATAAAATTTCTAACTGTTCTCGTATATAATACTACAGAAGCTATTCTTTTTTCTTTTTTTTTTTGTTAAAATTAAAAGGGTAAATTATAATTACACATCTTGAGATTTGTTTAAAATAAGAATTGTCTCATGTAATTTGAAAATAAATATCCACATGTTAGAATTTTTTATTTAACAGAATAACTAAAAAATAAAATTTCTAACCGCTTTCCTATACAATGATAAAATTACTTGAATTATTAATTAAAATAAATTTTTGACATCCTTAAAAATTGTTAATTGACTTGATGATTTATTAGTAAAAATGATAATTTGTTATGAAATAAGAAATTTCAAGAAATGAGATGTAATTTTTAAAATTACAGGGGCAAATCATTTTTTAAGCAATTTTAGTAGGTGTATTTGTAATTTACCAAAATTAAAATATGAGTTGAAAGAATTGAAAGTGTTTGGAAAATACTTTTGCTTATGGGTAAGAAATAGAAAAAAATAAGAAGAAATCTTTGGCTTTTTGTAAGTCTTTTTGATTTTTTAACTTCTTAAATAATTTTGTGATTTTGTTTTTACTAAAATCAGCCTATTATCAAATGAACTCTTTATTTTTATTTTTTTTTCAAATTTAAATTCAATAAAAATGTTAAAAAATAATCTCTAATTTTTTGTATCAAATGTTTATCAAATTAAGGGAGAAATATTTTTTTATTAAATTCAATTTGATGAAAATTTAAAAATATAAGGAATTGGTGGATATGATTTTTTCAACAAATTTGAAGAAAATAAAATTTTGGAATAAATGAGAATTTTTAAAAAGATTTTGATAAAAAAATTGATGAGAGGGTTGAAATAGTTCATATTAAATCAAAATTTTTATTCAAATTTGAAATCAAATTAGATCAAAAATATTAAAAAGTAATGAAAGGTTTGAGATGCTCTTACTCATGAAATGAAATCAATATAATTATGTCAAAGTTATAAAATTTATTGTATTTCACCAAATCTCAAAAAAGATCAATGAAATTTGCCATTATGTTTGTCATCAGATAAAAAATTAAATTTCAAGCTTAGAAAAGAAAAAAACTTATATTGAAACATCAGTTAATCAATTTTTTTTGACTCTTGAATGTGAAAATCAGCATCCTACTCTTCACATCTGAAGGTTTTGTATGCTTGGGGAAGTTTAAAAAAAAATTGTGAAAAAACTGTTTTCTTTCTTCCTTTTTGGCAGCTAAATAAGCCAATGTCAAAAGAGCTATTTCTTTTTTGCTCAAATAGCCAAAAAAATAGCTATTTTATACAAAGCCAAACAAGGCCTTAAGGGTCATAGCAGTCATTCAATAGTTCATTGTATTCAATCTCAGTACACCAAACTACCACATTTAGCCATAAACAATTGAAAACAGAGAATAAGAAAAAAAGAAAACCCAACTGTGTGTGTCTGTGTCCAGTTTTCCTTAGCAAAAGGAAATGGAATAAACCACAGATACAAGCACCAGCAAAACTAATCAATCACAAACAAAAAAACATGACACAAAGATTCTTGATCAATTAAGAGGAGTACAATACTAATCAGGCTTCACAATCCCAAAAGTTTTCATGCCTATGAGAGAACTTTTCAGTCAATACGTATCACCATTTTCCTACTATAATTAATCACAAAATTCCCACATCTCTATAAAAACGAGTGCCAGCAAATATCTCCAGTTTGATACCCCAATCTCCATTGAAGATGAAAAAAAGAAAAAGAGAAAAAGGACTAATTATCATCAATTCTGTCTAGTGATAGAAAGGTGTGGATGATACAAGATGTCGGAAGTCAACTGGACTACAATAGTAATGGCTACAAAAACACTGCTGAAAGAGTAGCATATAACATTTTTTCCAATGCAAATTCCCTATCTAGCAGCCAACATTTCTATCATTTTTTCCAATGCAAGACCAAGTTTTCAGTGACTGAAATGGAATTTAAAAACAATTACATACAAAAGTACAAATCTCTAAAGGCTGCTAAATGATTCAAGAAAATAAACAATAAAGAGTTATGACATGCAACTCTTATTTAACTCGTGCTTAAATAAAGCTAAAATACTTAACAAAGCTTTAGAATTGAATACAGCAACAAGGGTAAAGCTTTCGAAGTGATCCAGTATAGCTTCTATCTGGATGCGCACACACCCAAATGCAGCAGCTAGGTGAGACACTCCTTCAAGTGGATACCATTGCTTTATTGTGCTACTTAATGGAACAGATCTAGTTTTGAAATAAAAAACATTATTAACTCAAATATAGCTTATAGATAGAAACCATAAAAGATAATCAACAAAGTAATGCTTCAGAGATAAATTGCACTAACCTGATAATGCCATCTGTTTTTTCTAATTTATTCTTTCATTGCATCAGTGCGCACCCTTGTTGGACCTTTTCACCTTCTTATATTGTTTTCCTTCAACTATTTTCATTAGCTATTCTAGTCTTTGAGTTCCAAACATAAGATATCCCATAACCATTCCAAATACAAATCCACATCCATACACCATCACTACAACTTTCTAGCCAAACCCGCTTCACCAGTTTGAATTTTTGTCTTGTTGGAGTGTTAGTGTAGGTGGCAGTGGCTGTGGTTCCTTACATTTCTTTGATAAGGGGAATCCGCATAAAGCCAAGTTCCTGCTGTATGAATCATTTCCAAACATGTTAAATTGGCTCCCTTGAGGAATTGATCCTGCTAGTTGGTTATCCGAAAGGTTTAATACCTCAAGAAATATCGAACTTGTCAATTGCTAAGGAATCTCCCCCACAAACTTGCTTGAGGAAAGATCCAACAATTCAAGGTTTTTCAAATTTCCAAGTGAAGTTGGGATGTGGCCTTTAAGGTTGTTATTAGATAAGTTAAGACCACGAAGCGAATTAAGCCTCCCAATGGATTTCGGAATCTCTCCTCGGAATTTATTTCTTGAAAAATCAATGACTGAGAAGATTGTTAAGATTCTTGATAATTTAATCTCATATCCTTTAATCATCACCACCACATAATCTTGATAATATGTTTGGCCCATGTATTTCAATTTCATTTCATGTTCATCAACATTCATTATAGCTGCAAATTGTTTCATATAATTTGTTGGCAAAAGGCTAGTGCACTCATTGCACGATATGTCACTAATTCTCTACTTCGGAAAAGGATGTTTGCTCTTGGTCTTGGAGGTGTCCATGTGACCATGGAACCTATAAAACCTCAAGACAAGAACCTGCAATTCTGGAAGAGTTTCCAACTAGCGGGGGAATGTATCATTTATCTTATTTGTTCCAAGATCTAGAACTTCCAAGTGTCTACAATTGAGCAGAGATCGCAGAACATGTCCTTCAATTTTGTTGTCATTCAAGTTAAGACTCCTTAGCATGTTGCCTTTTGCAAATGCTGCAGTAAAGATGCCACCAAAGCTATTCATCCGTTAACTCAACACCGAGAGATTAATGCTTTTGTTTCCCAAACATTGTGGAATCACACCGCTCAGACTGTTATTTGATAGATCAAGAACTTCAAGTGACATCAGACTGCAAATCAAAGTTGGGATTTCTCCCGTCAATTTATTGTTTGAGATAGAGAAAACAATTGTGGTGATAGGTGGAATAGGGAGTGGTCCTTGGAGTAAGTTGGAGTGCAGGTTAATATATTCTAGATTCTTCCATGGAAGACACTCTAAACTTGTAAGGATATTATGAGAAAGATCTAAACTATCCAATGTATTTTATCCCACATTGAATATCCATTTTGGAACTTCACCATGAATTTTATTGTTTGAAAGGTCTAATGCAATCAAATCAAGCAGTACTCTCAAGAAGTTTCGGAATTCGCTTATGTTGCAAGAAGCTAATCCTATAGCCTCAAAGTAATGCAAGGTAGAGTTGACATTGTTGTTGATGTTCAATGAGAGACCATTATATGAGAGATGAAGATAGTACATATATTTTAGCTTAAGCAACTTATCTAGCTTAATTACACCACTGAAGTTATTTGATGAAAGCCTTAAGTATGTTAGGTTCTGGAGTTCATATTCTGATCCTGGAATTGGTCCCTGCAGCATATGTTACTCAAATCTATAGAAATCAATGAAGGTTGAGCAAACAACCAAGATGGTATTGTCCCATTGAGCGAGTTATTTTGTAATCCACTGTAAGTTTGCTTTGAAATCCCAACAACATATGAAGGAATGGGACCTGTTAGCTGATTTTCAGAAAGTGTCAAGAAAGCAAGTTGGCTTATGTTGCCAAGGGAATTCGTTATTTGCCCATTCAAATTGTTTCTGGAAAGATCCAAGTTAATAAGCTTTGCAAGGTTTGAAATTGATGAAGGGATTTGACCGCTGAAGCTGTTAGCCCAGAAGTCCAAATTAGTGATTTGTGTAAGGTTCCCAAGAGAAGTTGGAAATGGACCCCGAAAAGTTGCACTCAAAGAGGTACAAACTATTCAAGGCTTTAAGATGTGCTGATTGAATCAAGCAGTTGTCCAAAAAAACTTGTCAGGGACATATCAAGAAACTGAAGAGAACTAGTCACATTGAAGTTTGGAAGTTTATCATGTAACGCCCAAATTATTCTGTGCATTGAGCTTTCGTAGGTTTGGGAGTTGGAAAATGTTTTCTGGGAATTTCCTACGTAGTTGACAAGAAGCAAGACTGAGAGATGTCAAAGAAGATAGCTTTAGCAAAGCATGAAGTAAAGGTGAAGGAATATCCAACTCAACAAGGTGTAGTTCTCTTAATTGGTTTAGGTTTTGAAGGAGCATATTGAAAGTGTGCTGTTCAAGACTCACCTCATAATGAAAAAGAGACAGATCAAGGGAAATCAATTTGGATAAATGACAGATTTTTGAAGGAACTCTGCTTGCAAATAAAGAGTTGGAGAGGTTAAGATGGGTCAAATTTGCAAACGAGCCAAACTTAGATGAAATTCTAGAAAATTTGAAGTCATTCAAGCAAGATTCAGCCTCTAGAGTTGACGAATGTGGAAGAGGGAGCTATTGGCTTCAATGGTGCCATGGAGCGCACTGCAACTGAGGTCAAGCCCAATTACATGATCATTCAACCAGTCACAGTCGACCCCCTCCAATGAGCAGCCATCGGTACTCTCATTCCAGAACATCATTTTAGGGAGAGAATCAAATTCACTGTGGGAAAGAAAAATCAGTTATGGTAAATGTTTTCTTAAATTGGAGTAGTGCAAATCTCAGGTCCTCAAGGCACGTATGGCATGCAGAATTAGGAGAAGACCATGATGATGATGAATATGTAGTAATAACTACTAGTTGAGAAAACAAGATAAATACCAGAAAAAGTTGATGAAGCCATATTAGCCAACTCATTTTCTCCTTATATAGGTATGAACCACAGGAGATATCAAAAGGAAAAAGTAAGTATTGGATAGTTGATGATGATTGAGCTGGATATATAAGAGGATTAAATGTATTATTATTCAATCTGATACACACTACAAAGTAACAGTAAGTATTTTCTATGGTGAATCCTATCAAGGCCGAAATTATTTAATAAATTATCCAGACCCTTCAAACAAGTTGCTCTTCCATAAGCCTTGAATTCCATGTTGCAACATGAATCATTTTTCTCCATTCGAATCTATCGCAATATATCTTATGCACATTAAGTCTCATCAAATGAAGTCGGCTACATGAATCTTTTTTCTCCATTCGACTCTATTACAATATATCTTATGCACATTAATTTTAAAATCGCAATCGAATGTTGACAAATAATTTGTTTGAGACTGATGAAATTGTTAGAGAGATGGGCGACAAACCAACCTAACCTGTGTAGGTGGGGGATATTTCTAAAGAAATGTAGTTGGAAATAAGGAGTTTGAAGTTGACACATGTTGAACTTAGAAATTCAATACAAGGTCTAGCTAGTTTCTGCCTCTTTATATTAACCTTATACAAAACCTTTTCCACCATTATATTACAATTATTTTCCATTTTAATTTTGGTTAACTATTGAGATATGATCTCATGTACACTCATTTTTATGATCAAAATTTTCAATTCATCTAAGTTCAGATTATGTTATAGATGTGAAGAGTCTAATTTTCAAACGCAGTCATTAATGTTGTGTTTGAATCATAAATTTAGATAGTGATTTAGAAATGGAAAAAGAAATGAAGAAAAAACTAATTTATATTTTATTCAATCACTTTTTTCTTCCTTTTCAAATCTTCACCAAAATTCATGATCCAAAGGAAACAAAAGAATTTAATACTGAGACATGAAGTCTTGTTAGATGTGCAATGAAAATTGAAAGTTTAGCAATTAAATTACGATTTTGGTTTAAATTAAGGTAGCTAGTAATTTGTAACTAGGGGTGCAACTTCAGTAGATGCAGTAAGATGAAGAGTTATCCAAATTGTTTTGGGGGTTGCCTAAGGCCCCTAAACCTAACCTCTAAGCGAATTTTGTCTGCCCAAGGCTGGCTCAATCTCAATAAATTGAACTTGGGCTACGCTCAAATTACCAACAAATTTAAGCTGAATTATTTTTCTCATCCACCCTTCAAGGACGACAATTATTTTAGCATCCACCCTTCAAACAAGCTAGACCAACATTTAAATATTGATAGCACTAAAGTATCACCAAGTAATTATTTAGTATTTAAAAACATAGTGGAGACAACAAAACCTATGCTCATTTCCATCATTTCAATTTCAAAAAATAATTTTTTGTCATAAAGTATTTAATGAAGATTCCTAGAACAAAGTATCCACCAGAACACAAACTGGGATCCCAAATTTTTGTTTAAAAAATTCTTGCCACAGTTATAAAACTTAAACAGCCTATCACCCCTTTAAATCCAAGTTTTCACACGTTACAAAGTCTAGAACCTTTCTTTCACCTTTTCAAAGCCAAATCATAGAAGATAACTATATAACCTTACCTTAGGCATGTAAATCCTATGGTCTCATGTGTGACGTTTACTTCTTCCCTAGTCCCTAATCCACACAACTTGATACCCAAGCTCGCTAATTATTGCCACCAGCGTTTTGGGTTGCACGACTTGATACCCAAGCTCGCTAATTATTGCCACCAGGGTTTTGGGTTGCAGGAAGCTAAAACTATTCATAAATGTGGAGATTAATATCTTCATTGGATGTATGAGCTTGTGGCCAGACAATAAAACTATACAAATCCTTTAATCTCCTTCATGGAGTAACTAATATTTTTAATGATACACACATACCAAACTCAAACATGAATTTGCAACACCAAATTTTTTACTTATCAAACAACCTGGCATAAACTAAACAACTTGAATTTTAAAAAAATCTAAATATGTTCCTATTCATGACAACACTTGCACTAGTAAAAATATGAGCAACATTTTCAATCAATACTCTTCATATCACCATTTTCATACTACAATTAGTCACAAAATTCCCACGTCTATAGAATAGGTGCTAGTAAATATCTCCAGTTTGATCCTCTAATCGCCATTGAATATGGAAAAAAATAAAAAAATAGAATAGCAACGAGTAAAAGCACTACTCAAAGATTAACATGTAACATTATTTTCAATGTGAATTCTCTGTCTAGCCAACATTTCTATTACTCAAAATGATTAAGAATGTAACAAGGAAAATGGTTTGAGTTGTAACTTGTAAAATTGCATTTCAAAGTTAAAAACTTGGCAAGGCCCAGTCTTCTGTGACTGAAATCCAATTTAAAAGCAAGTGCATACAAAAGTGAAAATCTCCAAAAGGTTGCTAAACGGTGCGAGAAAAAAAAAACAAGAATGAGTCATGACATGAAACTCTTATTTAACTCAGTGCTTTAAGAAAACTAAACAACTTACAAAGCTTTAGAATTCAACACAGTAGCAAGGGTAAAGCTTTTGAAGTGGTCCTGTATGGCTGTTATCCAGATGCTCACCCACTCAAATGTAGTAGCTAGGTGAAACACCCCTTCAAGTGGATACATTGCTTTCTTGTGCTACTTAATGGAACAGACCTGGTTTTGAAATCAGAACATCAATAACTCAAATACAACATATCAGTAGAAACCATAAAAGATAATTCAACAAAGTAATGCGGCAAAGATAAATTCCAATTACCGGATAACACCATTTGTCTTTGTTGATTTCTTCTTTCACTGCATCAATGGGTACCCTTCTTCGACCTTTTCACCTTCTTATGATGTTTTCCTTCAACAATTTTCATAAGCCATTTTGGTCTTCGAGTTACAAACATAAGATATCCCATAACCATTCCAAATACAAATCCGCATCCATACCCCAACACTATAACTTGCCAGTTAAATCCGCTTGAGTTGTCTGAATTCTCATCTTGTTGTAGTGTTGGTGAAGGTGGCGGTGGCTTACATTTCTTTGATAAAGGGAATCCACGTAAGGCCAAGTTCCCATTGTATGAATCATTTCCAAATGTATTAAGCTAGCTCCCTTGAGGAATTAGTCCTGCTAGTTGGTTGTCTGAAAGGTTTAGTACCTCAAGAAACGTCAAACTTTTCAATTGCTGAAGAATCTCCCCAACAAACTTGTTTGAGGAAAGATCCTATGATTCAAGGTTTTTCAAATTTCCAAGTGAAGTTGGAATGTGGCCTTCGAGGTTGTTATGGGATAAGTTAAGACCCCAAAGTGAATTAAGCCTCCCAATGGATTTTGGAATCCCTCCTTAGAATTTATTTCTTGAAAAATCAATGATTAAGAAGACTGTTAAGATTCTTGATAATTTAATCTCATTTCCTTTAATCACCACCACCACCACAGAATCTTGATAATATGTTTGGCCCATGTATGTCAATTTCACATGTTCATCGACATTCATCATAGCTCCAAATTGTTTGATATAATTTGTTGGCAAAAGGCCAGTGAACTCATTGCAAGATATGTCAATAATTCTCAACTTAGGAAAAGGATAATTGCCTTTGGTCTTGGAGGTGCCTATGTGACCGTGAAACCTATTAATCCTCAAGACAAGAACCTGCAATTCTGTAAGAGTTTCCAACCAATGGGGGAATGTATCGTTTATCTTGTTTTTTCCAAGATCTAGAACTTCCAAGCATTCACAATTGAGCAAAGATGGCGGAACTTGTCCTTCAATTTGGTTGCCATTCAAGTTAAGATTCCTTAAAATATTGCCTTTAGTAAATGTTGCAGTAAAGGTGCCAGAAAAGCTATTGATCCCTAAATTCAGCACCGAGAGACTGTTGCTCAAGTTTCCCAAACATTGTGGAATCAAGCCACTCAAATTATTATTAGACAAATCAAGAACTTGAAGTGAAATCAGACCGCAAATCAATGGAGGGATTTCCCCACTCAATTTATTGTTTGAGATAGAGAAAACAATTGTGGTGTTAGGTGAAATAGGGAGTGGTCCTCGGAGTAAGTTGGAGTGCAGGTCAATATTTGCTAGATTTTGCCATGGAAGACACTTTAAATTTGTAAGGAAATTATGAGAAAGATTTAAATCATACAATGAATCTTTCCCCACATGGAATAACCATTTTGGAACTTCACCATGAATTTTGTTGTTTGAAAGGTCTAGAGAACGCAATCCGGCTTGTTCTCTCAAGAAGTTTGGGAATGCGCTTAGATTGCAAGAAGCTAATCCTATAGTGTGAAAGTTGGTCAAGGTAGAGTTGACACTGTTGTTGATGTTCAATGAGAGACCATTATATGAGGGATCAGGATGGTACAAATTTTTAAGCTTTAGAAGCTTATCTAGATCCACTACACCACTTAAGTTATTTGATGAAAGCACCAAGTCTGTTAGGTTCTGGAGTTCATAAACTGATCCTGGAATTGGTCCCTGTAGCTTATTGTCACTCAAATCTATATTAATCAGTGAAGGTAGAGCAAACAATGAAGATGGTATTGTACTAGTTAGCTGATTTCCAGAAAGATCCAAGCTAGTAAGTTGGCTCATGTTGCCAAGGGAATCCGGTCTTTGTCTGTTCAAATTGTTTCCGGAAAGATACAAGTTAGTAAGTTGGCTCATGTTGCCAAGGGAATCCGGTATTTGTCCGTTCAAATTGTTTGTGGAAAGATACAAGCTATTAAGCTTTGCAAGGTTTGAAATTGATGAGGGGATTTGACCGCTAAAATTGTTAGACTAGAAATCTAACTTGGTGATTTGTGTAAGGTTCCCAAAAGAGGCTGGAATCGATCTTGTAAAGTCGCATTGAACGAGGGACAAAATATTCAAGGCTTTAAAATTGCTGATTGATTCAGGCAATTGGCCAGAAAAACTTGTGTCAGAGAGATCAAGAAATTGAAGGGAACTAGTCACATTGAAGTATGGAAGTTTACCTGTGAGTAGCACATTTCCCTGTACATTGAGCTCTCGTAGGTTTGGAAAGAGAAAAATGTTTTTTGAGAATTTCCCAAACAGTTGACAATCAACAAGACTGAGATATGTCAAAGAAGATAGATTTAGCAAAGCATGAGGTAAAGGTGAAAAGATATTCAACGCATCAAGGTGTAGTTCTCTTAATTGGGTTAGGTTTCGAAGGAGCATATTGAAAGTGTGTTGTTCAAGTCGTCTCACTCGAGAATAAGCATCAATTACATGAGAGAGATCAAGGGAAATCAATTTGGATAGATGGGAGATTTTTGAAGGAATTGGGCCTTCAAAACCAGAGTAAGAGAGGTTGAGATAGGTCAAACTCGCAAATGAGCCAAACTCGGATGAAATTCTAGACAAATTGAAGTAATTGAAAGCAAGATTGAGGCTTTGAAGGTGACGAATGTGGAAGAGGGTGCTGTTGTCTTGGATGGTGCCCTGAAGCTGGCTACAACTGAGGTCAAGTCCAATCACATGACCATTCAACCAGTCGCAGGTGACCCCCTCCCACGAGCAGCAATCAGTACTCTCATTCCAGAACACCATTTTAGGATGAGAATCAGAAAAACAATAGAAAGAGGCAAAATGAGTTATGGTAAATGTTCTTTTAAATTGGAGAAGTGAAAATCTCTGGTCCTCAAGGCAGGTGTGGCGTGCAGAAGTAGAAGAAGAAGACGAGAGAAACAGCATAAGAAATTGATGAAGAAGAAACATAAGCAAACTCACTTTGTTTTCTTGTAGGTAGGAGGATTCAGAGAGATATGAAAAGGAGAGTAGAGTAAGATGGATAGTAGTTTGATGATGGAGGAGGAGTAAATGAATTACTCATTCTTATATAGAGCAAAGTCTTTCTATGGTGGTGGTGGAGCAGCTCAACCCATCAAGCACGGCAACAACGACTTCGAAGTTGGCTATAGTGAGTCTTTTTATCTTTAATTCCACTGGTCCCAAAGCCATTAGTAATGGTTTGCCATAAAACCAACGGCCAAATTACATCACTACTCGTATATTTTTCCATGAAAACTACTAGAAACCCATTTTACGGACCCCAAATTTATTCTCATAAATATTGAATTGATAAAGTATGAAGTTCACATATGTAATGAATTTGAATCATTAATTTTTTTTATAAGTAAATTTCTGAGTTGATAAGGGTAGATTTGTAGTTTTGTTATTTTTCCATTGCGTCATTTTGGTTTGAGTAATTTTAATTTGCTTAATTTTGAATTCTAAATATTATTTTGTGTTAATTTGATCTAATTGATAAGGCTGAATAAGGTTCCTGAAAAAAAAATGTTATTGAATTGGTTGAGATTAAATCATTAAATTGAACAAATTTATAAATTTTTACTTAGAAAAGTATGAAACGTGCCACTCATGTGCCCATTTTTCATCAAAAATAATTTAAAGTTGTAATTAGTTAGATTAAATTGAGACAAAATTATAAATTCATATCAAAATCAAGTCTATTGAAATTATAAAGACAGAAATGATGTAAGAGCAAAAATATATGAATTAAGGATTACTAATATAAATTGTCATGAAGCAATTAAAAGTTGGAAGTTGCCCTAGCTATTTACAAAGCAAGTAATATATTTTTAATAGTACAAGGCAATAGAAAATGATAATGGTTCTTTTGATCAAATTGTTGAGTATAATTTTGATTAAAAAAAGTTTATTCAATTTTTTAAATTAAAAATATATTTTTTAAAAGTAAATTAAAATTATTTATATAATTGTTGTTCGTATTTTAATAACAATGGTATAACTGGAATAAAAGAAATTATTAGGGAAAAGTGAACTTTTTTATAATAAATTAGAAAAAACAAGACTTAATTTGTCTATTGAAATTTAATAGGACTCAATAATACGCTTGAAAATAAGATTTATTTTAAAAAAAAATTAGATATTTTGTTATGCCAATTTATGACAAAATTACATATTTTGTGATTGATGTTAGAAAATTTTATAGTAACGTTTATGGTAGGATACATATAATATGTATCCCTAAAGGGGTGTGAGGTGCTTATTCTTTTTTTTATTTAAATATTTTGTTATCTTTTATTTGAATTTTCATTAAATAGTTATATTTTTATTTTTGTATATTTTTTCATCTATATTTATTTTTTATTCATATATACATAATTACCTTTTTATTTTAAAAATCATTTGACTCGTAATATTTTTTTATTTAAATTTTTTTTAATTGTTCATATATAAATAGTTAACTTTTTATTTTTATAATTAATTGACTCGTAATATTTTTTATTTAGTTATTTTTTTATCTTTTATTTGACTCTTTATATTATTTGTAGTTGAAATTTGAATAGTTATTTTTTTATTTTATTTATTTTATATTATTATATAACTATTAGATTTTAAGAAAAAAATCAGCAATTGAACCCACTAAAATACAATTTTGAATTCATAGTTTTCAGTCCTAAAACTTTGAACCCACCAATAAAACAAGCTTACTAGTTGCGACTGCAACAGTGGAAAGAGCATTTTCAGCAACAAAATTCATAAATAATCGATTACGTAACCAAATAGGAAATCAATGGTTGAATGATTGTTTGGTTACATACATTAAGCAAGATGTATTTAATAGTGTTAATAATGAGTTTATTATGCAATGATTTCAAAATATAAAATCTCATTGTGATCAATTATAGAAGCTCGTGTATTAGCATGTCTTTTTATTTAAACAATAATATCAATATATTGAAATAATTTTTTTTTTATAATTTCAAAACTTAAATTAATTTGTTGAATTTTTTCTCCATAGATAATATAATGATTAATATGAATTTTCTATAAGATATATGACATTTAAGTTTTTGATTGATACCACTAATAAAAAAATTTGGAGTTGCCAATGGTCCCAAAGCAAGTCAAGATTGGTCAGTCAAGAAAAAGTTGGAGTTGGTATTAGAAAGCGTGTACAATGAGCTGTGTAGCCCGTCAAGGACTGCAACTACGTTATTTATCCATCAGCCATGACTTCCAAGTTCAAGTTGGTTTTCTTATGGAATGGCTGGACATAAGTAGTTTGAAGTTGACACATGTTGAACTTTCAAAGTGGCCGAACTCGTACTGAGAGGGAGAGTCAAGATTGGTCAGTCAAGAAAAAGTTGGAGTTGGTATTAGAAAGCGTGTACAATGAGCTGTGCAGCCCGTCAAGGACTGCAACTACGTTATTTATCCATCAGCCATGACTTCCAAGTTCAAGTTGGTTTTCTTATGGAATGGCTGGACATAAGTAGTTTGAAGTTGACACATGTTGAACTTTCAAAGTGGCCGAACTCGTACTGAGAGGGAGAGAGAGAGAGTGAGACAGATTTCCAAGTCATCCAACAGCAGTCTCTTTATATCAACTTTTTCCAACCTTGTGTTACAATTATTTCCATTTTAATTTTGGTGAAATATTGAGATATGATCTCATGTACTCATTTTTATGATCTAAATTTTCAATTCTTTAGAGTTCCAGATTTGGTTATAGATGTACTTTCAAGCCACAGACAATTAAGGAAACAAAAATTTGACAATGTGAATCGAAATCTTGTTACATTTACAAAGCACTCGTTTGGGAAGAGGTTATAGGATTAAAATAAGTATAAAAAAATAAAATAAGTTAAAAGTCAACTAGACAAAATGTCACATCCAAATTATAATTATTATTTTTTATTTTACAAAAGTTAAAAAAATCAAAAAGTTCATTCCAAACGAGACTTTTTAGTCACAGGCTAAAATAGCCAAAAAGTCGACCCACATCCCAATTGATTTGTATGACCAATTTTTTCGCATGCACTTTTAGCAATTCAATTAGGATTTTTGGTTTAAATTAAGATAGCTAATAATTTTTAACTACGGGTGCAACTCAAGCAGATCCGATTGGGTTGAGAGGTTTCTCAAGTTGTACTTAGAGTTGTCCAAACCTGACTGAGTCCAACCTCTAAACCAATTTGTTTAAAAAATAATAATTTAATTTTTTTGTTAAAAAAATAGTGAGACACATGTAAAATATAAAAAATATAAAAAATACAAATTAAAAATTTTAAAATTATTTTTAAAACTCAAAAAAGATTTACACTAAAAGTTAGACAGGTCTAATATTTTCTTTTCTTTTCTTTTTCTTTAACTTGGCTAACCAAACACATTATAATATTTTTTTTTGGTATAAATTACACCTCTCTCTCTCTCTCTCTCTCTCTCAAGTTTTGGAGAAATATATAAGTCCGATAAAAAATAATATTATTATCTTTTTTTATGTATTTTTTACCTATCTTTATATTTTCACACCATCTACGTTAGTTAAGGATTTTAGCCTTATAAAAGAAAATGTTGATATAATTATACTAAAATTGTAATTTTTTTTTTAAATCTCATAAAACGTCATTTATCACCTTTGAAGCTTAAAAACCCATTACCCAACGTTTATACAAATTAAAAAAAAAATAAATAGAAATATTTGGTATCCATCCATTCAAATTGTTTTTAGAAATATCAAAGTTTGTGAGTTGTTTAACCTCTAATAGACCCTGCGAAGTGGATGAAGATATCGATAAGCTTAAAGGTAAATTAAAATGATATTGTTTTGAGATGTGTATTTTAAAATAAAAAAGTAGTATTTTAATATCATTTTACTTTACTTTTAATGTTAAAAGTTGTTGAATTATGTATGTGTTTTTTTATGGTAAAAATCATTATAAAAAAATGACGAAACTAAAAAGTTGCAAATAAGAGAGGTACAAACTATTTAAGAATGGAAGATTGATGGTTGAATTAGGTAGTGTGTGCCAAGTTTCCTTTATTCTTCCAACACTGTCATATACAATTAGCAATTAATTCCAAGGTTGTTTTCTTGCTTATGAACAACATTTCCATTCAATACTCTCCATATTGCAATTTGCCTACTGTAATTAATCACAAAATTTCCACTTCTCAATAGAAACAAGTGCTAGTCAATATCTCTAGTGTGATTCCTTAGTCGCTATTGAATTGAGAATGTTTCTACCTCTCAACAAGCAAACTTGGCAACATTTTACAAAGGAGTAACACATCATTATTTTCAATGTGAATTCTCTATCAAGTAGCCAACAATTTTGTCATTCAAAAATGATTAAGAACGAAACAAGGGAAATGGTTTGAGTTGTACCTTGTAAGATTGCTTTTCTAAGTCAAAAAACTCAGCAAGGCCATGTTTGACTGAAATCTAGTTTAAAAGCACCTACATACAAAAAGTGAAAATATTAAAAGGTTGCTACATAATGCGAGAAAGAAACTGTTGGCTACATATTTTGTAAAAGCCAGTTACAGTTCGACACGTGGCAGAATAAGGGTAATAAAGGGAGGTTATTCAAGCTTTCAATCCTGATCGTACACGTGGCAATAGATATTGGTCCTCACGTGATCTGAATAACACTGGATCAATAACGGGATGCAAGATGACATGGCTTCAACGGTTACTCATATTCAAATTCAAGTACGAGAGGGAAACTCAACTGCCATTAATGACGTAATGGAGCTACTTGTAAGGAAGCATGATCAGCGATCATGGAGGAGCAGTTCGACAGTTCGAAGTGCAGTTCGAAGGTCATCACTGACGAGTATAAATAGCAGGGCAGCCCCCAGGAGAAGAGGACGGACTCAGATCATACAAATCAGTCATTTACTTCATATATTTTCTTTTCCAGTCTTTTACATTTCCAGTCTTTAAATACCTGTTCTTTAAATACCTGCACTTTAAATACCCGCACTGCACTTCGATTCATAGGAGTAGCTTCAAGTAGATTCAAGTAGATTGCTGTTGTAAACCTCTCCGAGGCTGAGTTCGGACCATTGTAAGTGTTCATTTTTATGAAATACTTCAATTGTTCTTCATATCACTG